CCACCCCCACCCTCACACACACACCTCACACAACACACACGCCTGACATGTATCTCACACAAATACACCTGACACACAACACACCTGACACACACACCTCACACAAATACATCTGACACACCTTACACACACATCTGACACACACACGCCTGACACACTTCACGCAAATACACCTGACAGATGCCTAACACACACTGACACGCAGCTCACACAGCCACACCTGACACACTAACCACACGAACCCACACGTCTCACACCGTCACACGTGCACGCTCGCACACACCCCCTCGCGGTGTGGGACAGACACCCCGACCTGCCGCACCCCGGCGTGCTGACCTGGGAACCCCAGGGGCTCAGGCTGGACCTCGGTGGGGTGCTGGGGCTCCCTCCCGCCCCCTCCGTGGGTCCCCCACGCCAGCACCGTGGGGCAGCTGGGCTGGGCACAGCTGGCTCAGCGCCCTCCCCCAGCGATGCCTCCTCGTGTCCGTGTACGAATCCCCAGGCCAGAGCCTTCCGAGGCCCAGCCCCAACCTTCCCAGGGGGCCCCAGTGTCGCCGGCGTGCAGAGGCAGCGGGCGCGGTGTGACCTGGGGGACACCCGCGGCTCGGCCTCCCCCGGGGGCGGCAGGCACCTGTGCACGGCTCACTCCTTTTGGCTGTGAACAGTCCCGCGTCCTGCGACGGACGTGCCCCGTGTCATCCGTCCGTCCGTCCGTCCTTCCGTCCGTCCGCGGGCTTCGGCGCTGTCTGCAGTTTGTCTGGGGTTGATGAGGCTGCTGTGAACACGCTCGTCCCAGTCTGCGATGGACGCGGGCCTCTCATCTCCTGGGTGGATACTGAGGAGTGGGACTGCCCTGCTGGACGCTAAGCTGTCATCTGACTTCTTATGACAATCTTTTCCAAGGCGGTCTCATCGCTCTACACTTCCACAGAACCGTGCGAGGTTCCAGTTTCTCCACATCGTCACCAACGTTTGTTACTGTCCATCACTTTCACTACAGCCATCTGTTTTAGCTCAGGCCACCATAGCAAATGGCCACAGAGTGGGTGACAGAACACAGAGATTGATCTCACTCTCCTGGGGTCCCGAAGCCCGAGATCAAGGCGTCAGAAGAGTTGGTCTCTCCCGAGGCCTTTCTCCTTGGCTTGCTGATGGCCGTCCTCTGGCAGTGTCCTCACATGGTCGTCCCTCTGTGCTTGTCCTGTCTCAATCTTCTCTTCTTATAAGGACGCCGGTCATGCTGGATTAGGGTCTACCCTAATGACCTCATTTTAACTTAGTTACCTCTTTAAAGAGCCTACCTCCAAATACAGTCACTTTCTGAGGGTTAGGACTTGAACAAATGAATGTGGGGAGACACGATTCAGCCCATGACACCATCCCGAGATGTGTGGTGACACCTTATTGTGGTTTGCATCTGTGTCACCCACACGACTGATGGTGCTGAGCAGCTTTTCATGCGTGTACTGTGTTCGTCATCTGTATAACTTCTTGGGTGAGGTCTCTGTTCAGATGTTCTGAACATTGTTCAGTTGGGTTGTTTTTCTAATCATTGAGTTGTAAGAGTTCTTTATATATTCTGGATATGAGTCCAGTTCTTTACTTTGAAATATTTAATTGACAAATAAAGATTGTGTACATTCAAGGTGTATAAAGCGACGATTTGATATTCTTATACATTGTGTAATGATTATCACACTCAATTAACACACCCATCACCACCCAGGCTGTATTTCAGTCCCTAGAACTTGTTTATCTTATAATTCGAAGTTTGTGCCCTTTGACCAGCATCTCCCCATTTCTCTCACCCCCTAACCCTTGGCAACCACCCTTCTTTCCGCTTCTATGAGTTCAACTTTTTTAGGTTCTACATACAAGTGAGATCATATGACATCTGTTTTTCTGCGTCTGGTTGTTTCACTTAGCATAACGTCTTCAAATTTCATCCATGTTGTAGCATGTCAGAATTTCCTTTTTCTTAATGGCTATGTAGTATGCCATTGTGTATGTATATATATATAGAAACGTCCACAGTGGGTGAATGGATAAAGGAGATGTGTGTGTGTGTGTGCGTGTGTGTGCGCGCGTGTGCGTGCGCGTGTGTCCGTTGATGGACATTTAGGTTGATTCCATGTCTTGGCTATTGTGAATAGTGCTGCTATGAACATGGGGGTGCAGGCATCTCTTAGACACCTCTTTGAGGTAGTGGTTTTACTTCCTTTGGATATACACCCGGAAGCGAGACTGCTAGATTGTATGGTGGTTCTATTTTTGTTTTTTCGAGGAACCTCCATGCTGTTTTCCGTGATCGCTGTATCGATTTGCATTCCCACCCGCAGGGTACAGGGGCTGTGTTTTCTCCGCACCCTTCCTAACACTAGTTACCCGCTGTCTTTTTGGTGATAGCCATCCTAGCAGTGAGAGATGACACCTCGTGGTGGCTGTGATTCACATTTCTCTGGCGATTGGTGATGTGGAGTATCTTTTTGTACACCTGTTGGCCATTTGCGTGTCTTCTTTGGAAAAATGTCGATTCAGTCCCTTGCCTGTTTTGTGATCTAGTTATTTCTTGTTGTTGATTGCTATTAAGTTGTGGGAGTTCCTTACATATTTTGGATATTAATCCCCTATCACATACATGGTTTCCAAATATTTTCTCCCGTTCCATAGGTTTTTTCATTTTACTGTTTCCTTTGCTGTGCAAGAGCTTTTTAGTTGCATGTAGTCCCACTTGTTTATTTGTGCTTTTGCTGCCTGTTCTTTTGGTGTCATCTCCCCAGAAGTCATTGCCCAGACCAAAGCCAAGGAGTTTTCCCCTACGTATTCTTCTGGGAGTTTTCCTGTTTCAGATTTTAAGTCTTTAATTCATTTCAAGTTAGTT